GCCACCGTCATCAGAGCTTTGCAATGCATTACCCGCCATAAAACCAGTCAATTTATTCATTCAAGAAGATGCCGCAATACGCCAGTATCTCCAGGACCTCCGCTCCATTAGAAGGTAACTTAAACTCGACCAACCTTGATCCAATCCCAATTCAACATCACGGAGATTTGCCACCACTTTGAAACCCAAAACCCGTCCAACTGTTCTCCTAAAATCACCCTAACAGCTTCTCCAATCACATAGTTAAATCATAAAAACACAGCAGTAATCCTCTCAAAACACCCAAAGTCATCTACTAAACACGAAGAGAAACCCCCCAAACAAAACCTACTTAAGTGACGCCACCCCACTCTTGCCTAATCTCCTTACCCCAAAACTCCAAACTCGAACCATCGCCCCTTCCCAACCAATACATATCAGCTCAAACCACTTTCACATCACAATCTCTAGCACACTTGTCACAAAAGCCCTCACGCTCCCCGCTATTTGCAAACTTTCCACTCCCCACTGCAACTCAGCACCACTAAACAACACGAGTAGTCCACTCAATGATATTTGGGTCTGCACATACAATATCAGCGTGCCCATTTAGTTCAGCCCAAAAGTGAATCACGTGCCCACTTAACTTCAACTGGTTCAGCTCTGACATAGAAAGTAACACCCCTCTCTCCACTCGGTCCAGCAAGCATAGGTGGCAGCACTTGAAGGGGTAATGTATGTGTCATTATCTCCTTTTAACTACCACTCTATTTGGTTAAATCTTTCTCTATTCGGCCCATTACTTAAATACATGCATCCCATTTTTCCATTTAGCTCACTCTTTATTCAGTCCATAATACATGCACATCATGCATATTGACTCTCCATTCGGCTCTTTGCTTAAAACAAGCATGCCATGCATGTCATTGCTCCAGCTTCAATCAAATGTTTTCAACTACAAAGTCGGTCACGCTGACTAGGCCATATAGCCCTCAAAGGTTTCAACTACAAGTCGGTCACGCCGACTCGACTGCAAGCTCCACTTGGCATACACCTTCAATCGACCCAGACCGATTTATGAGTTTACACCTTCGATCGACTCAAACCGATTCATGAGTTTACACCTTCGATTGGCCCAGACTGATTCATGAGTTTACACCTTCGATCGGCCCATACTGGTTCATGAGTTTACACCTTAGATCGGCCCAGATCGGTTCATAAGTTTACACCTTCCATCGACCCAGACCGGTTCATGAGTTTACATCTTCTATCGGTCCAGACCGGTTCATGAGTTTACACCTTCCATCGGCCCAGACCGATTCATGAGTTTACACTTTCCATCGGCTCAGACCGATTCATGAGTTTAGACCTTCCATCGGCCTAGACCGATTCATGAGTTTACACCTTTGATCGGCTCAGACCGATTCATAAGTTAACACCTTTGATTGACCTAGACCGATTCATAAGTTTACACCTTCGATCGACCCAAACTGATCCATGAGTTTACACCTTCAATCAGCCTAGACTGATCCATGAGTTTACACCTTCGATCAGTCCAAACCGATTCATGAGTTTACACCTTCGATCAGCTCAGACAGATTCATGAGTTTACACCTTCGATCGGCTCAGACCGATTCATGAGTTTACACCTTCCATTAGCGCAGACCGATTCATGAGTTTACACCTTCGATCGACCTAGACTGATTCATAAGTTTACACCTTCGATCGGCCCAAAACGATTCATAAGTTTACACATTCGATCAACCCAAACTGATTCATAAGTTTACACTTTCGATCAGCCCAGACCGATTCATAAGTATACACCTTCGATCGGGCCATTTCGATTTATAGATTCACACATTCAATCGGCCCATACCGATATATAGATTCACACATTCAATCGGCCCAGACCGATTGAAGGACTTGCACCTCAAATCGACAAGTTATCGACCTAATCCACACAACGATCATCTGATCTAACAAGCTGCTATCACTAATCCGCTTAGTCTGCACTCATTCGATTAAATCTACTCTCTAAGCTAAATATTCTTTAACTTAGGGAGTGAAGGGCTAACTGTTAAGGCCAAAAATCTTCTTGGGCTTAACGAGGCCCAATAACGAAATAAATATGTCACAGCCCAAGGCCTCAACCCAATCCCGATTGGGCCTACGCTTAAAATCACCTTGCGAACAACCCACTCTATGAGTTGGGCTATCCGATAAGTTAAGCTCAACTGGGTTTCAGCCCATTAGCCTTCAACAATCTATAAATAGGAAATCATAATCTCATTATATTTCCTCTTCTACTAAGATTCCAAATCTTACTCAAACTATCAAACTTAATACGATAAGGTCAAGAAATCATATCTCTTTCATGATAGGGATTATCTCCCAAAATAGGACTTAGTGTCCTACTAAGATTCCAATCTTATTTAAAGTATTAAACTTAATCTGATAAGGTCAAAAAATCATATCTCTTTCATGATAGGGATTATCTCCCAAAATAGGACTTAGTGTCCTACTAAGATTCCAAATCTTATTTAAACTATTAAACTTAATCTGATAAGGTCAAGAAATCATATTTCTTTCTTGATAGGGATTATCTCCCAAAAAAGATGACTCAATGTCCTACTAGGATTCCAACCCCTTGGGTTCACTATAAAAACAGAGGTTTGCCCTCTGATTAGGCATGCAATCTCCCATAGTCAATCTATACTACTCCAAATCATCTATTTGCTCTTAAGTTCTTGCTCCCAAGAACCCGACGCCTCCGCCGTAGTCCTAGCCTCCGACAAGATTCCTGGTAATTCTTCATCTCCTTAATTCTTATCAAATAATCTCTTTCAGCCTCGCTGACTTGAGCGTTCGAGTGCCTACGACAAACACCACCCCGATGTTTTCTGGAAGCTTCATGCTTGTCTTTTCATGTGTACAGGTCTAGCGGATTGTCAATGGCCTCAACCTCAGGGGATCAGACTCTATTTTCATGACGGTAGATTTTTTTGCATCTACACAAACTAGTCATTTTCAGCTGTAATTAAACTACACTCAAATACCTTAAATTTGGTCTCCTAATAGCATATTTGCACACCTAATAGCATATTTGCACAAGGAAAACGTCATCTAAGTTTGTGTTAATTAATAAATTGAATTCAAAGTTTACAGAAAAATAAGGATTTAAAAAAAAAAAAAATACAAAATTTCAACAGAAGTAGAAAATTAATACATGATAGATATATCCAATCTAGTGGCCGGTCGTATTGCAGCACAATTACTACAAAAACCTACAAGATGAGCAAAAATGTATCTCAATATCTCATATATTGGGTCATGCCTGTTGATGGAGATAATTACTGGTTCTACTTCCTCATATGTTGGTTAAACACTCAACTCGATTGGGCCTAACTCTGATAGTATAATAAAATTTGAGGTGGGCTTAACTTCTCACCTAATAAGGTCTTTTTGAATGAGAGGGTTACCCTCTTTATTAACTAGTAGATTTGAGCGTGTTTAGATAGTGTGAGATTCCAACAAAGTGTATATATGATGTAGGATAAGAAAAATAGGTGCAATTACAACGTAATAAAGAACAATATTTTTCATTAATCATGAGGTTTCTCTCAAAGAATATAACTACTAATACCCATATATATAATGAAAGGAAGATGTAATATATTCTTAGTTCGTGGTTTGGAATAGATTAATACAGGTTGTCTAATGGACTGATAATCCAATTGAATTTCATTTTTGAACAGCTCAATAAAACAAGAATTTACAGTACTTAAATTTCTCATACAGAATAGCACATATTCAGTATATACAAATACAGATTAATATATTTACACCACGTACAATAACCCTTATTCTGGAAACTCTACTTTAATTAGCTCTACCCTCAATAACTCTACTTTAATTAGCTCTTACTCTTATAAAAAGATGATTTACAATGACCGACTTGGGATTTGTTTAATTGATGTTTTTTTGGGTCTTTCGGATTTTTGTTTTAGCATTTGTTATTGTTATTCCACATTGTTTTTTCACCCCAATGGGTCGTTGAGCTGAGCTACCCCCAATATTTTCATCACTTATGTTTAGAGAATTTGACGATATGTCACAAGGCATAGATTGGGGAGACTTTGAAGTGGGAGTCTCTGATTCTTGTGATTCAAACCTATCGGTTTGCCTTTAAAATACTTCTGCGGCGTTAACATTATCTGTAAATTTTTCAATATCCTTAAGTATAGGCGACACATGATCAAATTTGAAACCTTTCTCGTAACTTTTATCTTGTGCTAGTAATGTTTTTCTATATTAAATATAATGTTTATTTGATTAAATAAATACTTAATTTTATTAAATTAGTATAATTTTCAAAATAATTATTATTTAATAAAAATATCATTTCCAATATTTAATTAATATATACAAAAATAATGAATGAAATAGATTAATTGTTGATTATTACAATAAAAGAAAAAAAAAGAATATTCTTTTTGGTGTAATATTTGGTGTTGTGGATTGGAGATGAAATAGTGTTTTACACCAAAATTTGCACCAATTTGGTGCAATTTTGCACCAAATTGGTGCAATGGGTTGGAGATGGTCTAACATATCTTTACTGTTAATTCTGGCCAATATATCTTCTTGATCAATTTGCCACTTTCCTACCAAGTTCAACCGTCACTTTCTCCTCTTGATGTTACCGTTCACGACAGAGTTATAATTTAATGCCATTTGTCGGCATTCAGGCTAGATTTGACACCGGAGAAGAATAACACTTATCTTCATTCACAGCCACAGGCATTATTGAATAATCTCGATTGGTATCGATCGACAGTGAAAGAAAAAGAATAAAAATACACAAGATATTCCAGTACGAATGTTTTTGTGTATATTGTTAAGAATCTAGGCTTCTAGCTGGTTGGAATAGTCAAGTGTAGGATAAGGTTTCGAGGATGCTTCCTCATGAAAGGGCCCGAGACTGAGTTTGTATAAAGAGCTTGGTTCGGCTGCAGTGTGTGGTGAAACCAAAGTAAACCATCGTATCTTAAGCAAAACGTACAGTTCGGTTTATTTTTAAAGAGTTATTTACCCTTGAGTCGCTACTTGAATGTATCTTTAATTCTGGCGGTTTAATTCCAGAGGCAGTCTGTTGATTTCTTCTGCTTCTATTTGAAGTAAGCGTTTTTGAAAATAAATTTTATTAGAAATATTAAAAGTCAGAGGTCAGCTGTAAAAACTGTGCTGCTCCATGCAGTAGCTAAAACTTTTTCTTCAGTTTTGTTTACTTTAATCTGAGTTAGTACGAATTCGGAGGAGGTTGTGATGGGAGAGGGAAAATCAGAGCTAGATGAACTCAGTAACAGCTATAACGAATTGAATTCCATCAAGGAAAAACAAGAGAAGAGAGTTAGATATCTCGAAACAAGGGCGATAAATTTGGTGACCTCCTATTGTTTCTACCAAGGTATCACTTTCTTTTCTATTTCTCACTCATCTAACGTTTTGTGCAATAAACGGTGGATTCCATTTTTCCTTTCCTTGTTGAGCGCTATCATTGCTGGCCCTACCTTCATAAGCACCCTTATCAACTGGGCAGGAACTCAGTATCATTACGAGTCGAACTTAATAGAGTTGGAGATTTTACACTACCAGATGGTCATAGTCCAAAATAACCACACGCAGATTAGAGATAGATATCAGCAGCAACAGCAACAACAGGAGCTGAAACCAGATATGTTCAAAGTGTACCAGCGGTATGCTTATCTTTTTGCTATCTCATTTGCCTTGGTTGCCTTTACAGTTGTGATACTACATGCCAATTGGACTATTCCATGCATTCGTTGAAGCCCCAAAACGCCAAGAAGTGGTTGAGCTCTTCCAGACAATCCTATAATACATATTATGTATCTAGGTTTTATGAATTTGATCGTCCACTTTTCCAGTCCTAGTTTTGTAATAGTTTGTCTACGTCTCTCAAGAGATAAGTTTCATCTTAAATCTGTTAGTTATAACAATAAGGCAATAAGGAGCTAGCGTTGGCAAGACTGATGCGCATATACATATATATATAAACGATATAATTGTACTCCAGGTCTAGGTCTTGTGGATTTTACAGCTTTGTATGAGTACTGGTTGTTTGTGCCACCGCCGCCGCCGCAGTTAGAAGTCACGAGTACTTATAATGTATTTTGCTGGTTTGATATTGGTAGTTATGCAAATAATAAAATTTCTGTGGGCTTTTGTATATATTCGTTCAGTTAATTTCTCATTGGTTTGAGAATTACCATTTGTGGTTGTACTTCCTATAGGTACAAAAACTTAATCAAGGGTGGTCTGTTTGGTCGTATTTATTAAACAAGTTATTTGATCAATTATGGAATAAATTCAATATTTTAATGTTAAATAATCTAAAATTAATAAATTAATATTAAAAAGCTCTTTTACATTTTTTTAATCAAATAATTAACTAATTTTTCATAAAAGTTATATTTTATTATTATTATTATTATTTTTTTTCTATAAACTCTACTTTAATTAGCTCTACCCTCAAATAAACTCTACTTTAATTAGCTCTTACTCTTATAAAAAGATGATTTACAATGACCGACTTTGGGATTTGTTTAATTGATGGTTTTTTTGGGTCTTTCGGATTTTTTGTTTTAGCATTTGTTATTGTTATTCTCACATTGCAAACTAGTCGTTTTCACTTGTAATTAAACTACACTCAAACACCTTAAATTTGGTCTCCTAATAGAAGATTTGTACAAGGAAAACGTCATCTAAGTTTGTGTTAATTAATAAACTGAATTCAAAGTTAACAGCAAAATAAGGATTTAAAAAAAAAAAAATGCAAAATTTCAACAGAAGCAGAAAATTAATAAATGATAGATATATCCAATCTAGTGGCGGATTGTATTGCAGCACAATTACAACAGAAACCTGCAAGATGAGCAAAAATGTATCTCAATATCCCATATGTTGGGTCATGTTTATTGATGGAGATAATTACTAATTCTAATTCCTTATATGCTGATCAAACACTAAACTTGATTGGGCCTAACTCTAATAGTATGATAGAATTTGAGGTGGGTCTAACTCCTCACCTAATAAGACATTTTAAATGAGAGAGTTACCCTCTCTTATAAACCAATAGGTTTGAGTGCACTTAGACGGTGTGGGATTCCAACAAAGTGTATATATGATGCAGGATAAGAAAAATGGGTGCAATTACATCGTAATAAAGAACAATATTTTTCATTAATCATGAGGTTTCTCTCGAAGAATATAACTACTAATACCTATATATATAATGAAAGGAAGATGTAATATATAATTTGTTCGTGGTTTGGAATAGATTAATACAGGTTGTCTAATGGACTGATAATCCAATTGAATTTCATTTTTGAACAGCTAAATAAAACAAGAATTTACAGTACTTAAATTTCTCATACAGAATAGCACATATTCAGTATATACAAATACAGATTAATATATTTACACCACGTACAATAACCCTTATTCTGGCATGCCTGAATGTTTTATATAAACAGTACGTATATACATGTATCTTTGTTTTTCGTTCCAATAGGATATCAAGGTACTGATACAGGCTTCTTGCGTATTACCCTATATTACTACAGTCCATATATACAGTACAAGTAACAATTTTTTAGACAATATCTTCCTCTTGGCTCCCATGTTCATCATTTCCGATCAGAAAGCGCAAGCCACTGAGCAAACTACCTACAAGCCTGACAAACATAGGTAAAAAAAATTTAATATCATCCAAGAAAAGATATTCATATTTTATATAGTTATGATCATCAGTGTATTCTGATATTGTCCTCAACTCAAATGGAAAGAAAAAATAATCAAAATACCTGGTACTGCGAAACTGATCACTCCGTGTTGCTCTAACACCTGTAACAATCACTTTTTCGTCTTCACCTGCTCTAAACGATATTCGAAAATAATCAATAAAGTTTTGAGGAGTTAGAACCTTATCAAACAAATCAACACCATCAACAAATATTCTGATCACAGTCGGTCTTGCTGCTAGTTTGGTGCGTCGGTGAAACATAGTGGCACCGATCTTCTTTTCATGAAAAGGATCTAGGCGGATTGTATATGAATAAAGACCATGAGGGGCAGACCGGCGGCTCTCTTTGAGTTCTATCACGCGGTCGGTCTCGTTCTTTAGCAAGACAACTCTACCGAATAAATGCCCCATTTTACACTGTTCACTGATAAAACAAGCTAAAAGTTGTGTGTATATATATATATATATTTTTGGCTGTTTCAACTTGCAGTTTAATTTCTTTAATTATTGAAAATTTTGAATTCTTCTTTTACGTAGAGACAAATAATACAAATTATACAAGCACAATTTTCTTCGGGAGGTTCCAGGTCAAATTTCGCTTTTAAGAATGATAACAAGTTGAAATCAAAGATTCCAGTAGCGTTGTGCTTGTGGCAGTAATACCAATTTAAGATAAGACTTCTCGTAGAGCATTATCAACGCAAGTTAACTCGACGCCAAAAATAAGTGGCTGTCGATTGGCAGTTGATCCAAATGGATGGGATAAACGCGGTGATGATTATTCTTTGATACGAAAGGGCATTATCGTTGTTCAACACAGGTGACTTGGATGATTCTTGATATGAAAGGTCGTTAACGTAGCTCACAATTGTTGATACTGGATTTTGACACCAACTATTCGCACGTGGGAAATACTCAGCGGACTCAAAAGTCACATGTGAGTATGGGGGTGTTTGATTGAATAAGGGATGAAGAACAATGTTTAAAGTGGTTCAGATGCCCAAAAAAGGAATCCTACGTTCACTAGTATTGTATTAATATATGAAGTCAGGTTGCGTTCAGTGAGTTAAATTATAGCTTGGAGAATACAAGAGGGAGAGAAAGAGAGAGAGAGAGAGAATATGTTATTTCAGAGTAAAATTAGACAATCCCACAAACGGGAGAGGAGCCCTCTACTTATAGTAGGATGAATTAAGGTAATGATTACTAAATTTGTGAATGGGGCAGATGCCGTGCAAATCCTTCTCTGCGTCCCATTACTCACTTGCCCGAGTGATTTCCTCGACTTGTGTAGGGATTGGACACGTCGACCTTTTCTAGCCTTTCGTCAACCTGGCGCATACCCACTGCACTGGCAGGAGCATGCTGCTCACATCATCACACGACGTGGCTGCATCTGAGTAGTTGTAGAACCTTCTCAAGCTGTGACCACTCTTGCTAACAAGGCAAGGCTCGACGTCAGCCCTACTCTGTCAAGCATAATAGAAGTCCCCTGATTTTTAAGGTTTGAGGATCAAACCTTGAAAACTACACAATCATGCCTTGATTTGATGTGTTGAGTGATCGCTGGTCGATTCGACCTGGTTGCAAGAAGGTCGCGAGACATTTCCATGGAGGCGATCTGAAATGATCTTTTTTTTTCGTAAGGTCTACGCTATAACAGACCTTATCCAGTGCCATAACGAGACTACGACCTTGACCAAGGTTTGCGACCTGCTTACACTTAGCATATTTTTCGTTGAAAGTGAAAGGTCACGTCGCTTCACAACTGATACATGATGAATAGTATTTTATCTAACGACCTTTTCAGATATTATCAGTTTTGGCAACTGATATATTAATGAAACACATTTTGCTTCGATAAACGTGTCATATGCGCAATAAGTGACAGCCATGTGCATTAAATGTGATGTATGCTGAAACGACATTCCCTATCAGAACATTAAATGCGGATGTGAGTGCATTTAATGTCACGCCCCCTCCCGAGTATCCCTATCCCACTGGATCCGGGCGCTCCAGGAGACTCAGGATCTCGAAAGGAAGGTGAATACTCTTTATAAAAAAAATATTCATAAAAACAATTTCGTCTACAGACGAAAGTGAAAAGTAGTGCATTTGCATGTTTAAGGTTTAGAAGGTGGAAATACACAAATAATTATTAAAAAAAAATAGGAACTGAAATCCAGTTACAAAAGAAACATAGTATCAGAGTCCACTAAAGTTTGTAAAAGATGCAAATCATCATGCGTCAAGGCCAACTAGAGCGTAGAGTATGCTCCACACAAACCTGATCTACGATCCTGGGGGAGGAAACATAAAACAGTGAGCTGGGAAGCCCAGTGAGCGGATAATATAATTTATACGAAAATAATTTTAACTTTGAAAACATGTATGAATAATTGTATGCCACACAACACTAGTGCACTTACATGATAAGGCAACAACAGTATATATATATTATTCTCGGATGCCATGAAATCACAAACCACTAACATATAAAATAAATCAATTATCACCACCCTACTAGCACTTAGGGGCCAAGATCATAACTATCTGAACCAGTCCCTAACTCAGATATGAAGCTACACCACCCGCAGTCTACCCTCGGGGTGGTGCCAACCGCAGTCTACCCTCGGGATGGTACGAACATCATTGGATAACCATGCTCAACCCACAGTCTACCCTCGGGGTGTCATGATATGGTATCAAATATAATCTCGCCCACAGTCTATCCTCGGGGCATCCAAAATCCCACACCGGCCAATAACCGCCTGGTGTAATCCTGCTTGGAGCTCGTCAGGCGTCCGTCTTGTTCTAGTAGGATATACCAATGGTTTGGTAGGACGGACCATCTCAATGCGTGCATGAGGATAAATGTCAAATACTAACTGATGTATGGAGGGAGATGGATACTAAACAAGGGTGGTTTCTAATTCGGGAGTCAAAACATATTAATAATCATGCATCCAGAATTTCATTCCAAATATGCATCATGCATGCCTTGTACATATATAAAGCATAATATGATATAAAATTTCAATAAAAAGGGCATGTAATCATAAATGCAATGCTCACCACGTCAAAAGTACAAAAGTGTGAAAAATTCTATTTACACCCTATATTTATCATCAATTTTACTGAAGTCCCAAAACTTTTAATCTTTGAAGTCAACCCCCAAACTGACTTTCGACCTTGACAATTACACACCCATAATCGAGAACACAATGCCTCACAAAATTTTCTTTTCCCACATTATCCTCTCCACCAATTATCATCAAAGCCTAAACCCAACAAAATAATAAAAATTGGGCCTCATCATTAATAATAAGCCATCCTACTAATATAAACAAATTCATCTAAAGCCTCAAACAATACTTGGGCCTCATTTTCATTTTACAACCCAATAAGGCTTCAAAAGGCCATGTCCATTTTAAAACCCAACTAACAAAATCTGGGCCTTATTATATTAGGCCCGCCACTATTATAATAAAACTCAATAATTCAAACAACTATCTTTTCCCCAAAATTTCCCAGCAGCTAAACAAAAATGTTTCTTCCAAATGACGTTAAGCACAAAGCAAAATGAACTTCCAGCCAACAAAATAAAAAAAAAATCAATTAGCAATTCTATACATACAAAGTTCAGTTCACGTTTTCATCATACCAATATTTCTTTTTAAGAAACAATTCCAGCCAACATTACAATATCAAAACAGTAAATATATGAACACTCAAGGTAACTTCCAGCAGCTCCAACTTGCAAAATTCATAAACTGAACCCATAACAATAAATCATCATTAAGAAAGTATCAAAACTCATATGCTGACTATTCTTAAATTTTATTATGCCCAACCAACGCAACCAATCAATTATCAATTTCATGCCTTCTCCTCATCACAATTCACTGCTTAGCATTCCCATAAACAAGCACAACAAAATATTAAAGAATGACATAACACCCGAATTGTCCACACCCACACATGAAATTGAAAACATGCAGTTTCATGCAATATTATTCCACTCACACTTTCTCCTTTGCTTTCAACTCAAGTGCTCAGTCCTCCTATCTTCTTCACCTATTTGATTCAAAATTGAAATAAGAATTGGGATCTAAACAATGAGGGAAATGAAAGATTGGAAATGCATGCCTAACACTTAGTACTTTACCCTTATGAAAATTCTCCCCCTACAAATCACCTCTCGGCCCTCTTCCACTTCAACTTAAAATTGCCTTTCTCTCTTTCAATTTACACAAGAGAATGAACGCAAAATGAGAAAGAGAAAAGAAAACAAGCTTCTCCTCTCTCACCCTTTTTTTTTCCCCTTTCATTCTCTCCGCTGTCTCTTTCTCCACTCCCCCATTCCTCATCTCAAAATTAATAAAATTTCACAACCATGGCAAAACAATGTGCCAAAACCGTGGGCTAATTCTCCTAAAGAAATTGCCTTTAATCCATCTTACATTGGCCAATTATGCATGCATCCCTTAGTCTTTGATTCTTACATCTTGCACCCCAAAATCCTTTAAATAAAGTTAAGTTTTATCATACTCTCACCCCTGGAGAATTATGCATGTACCCTTGCATGACACAATATTAAAAGGACCCCTCATCTTAATCAATTTCATAAAATTGTTAAAAGATTTTCACACTTCCCATCTTCTGCGAGCAGCTGGTCTTAGGATATTCTCAGGCACAATAGTCTCTAGCGAATTGAGATGCCATGGCGGACACATTCTTTTATCACTCCATCTTGGAACCTTATTGTTTTGTTTTTCTGAATCTGCAACTTCTTCAATGACTAATGGTAACCTCATGTCTTGTTGGGCAAGAGCAATACTTGTGTCTTCTAAACTTCCCATTTCTATTCCGATTATCATGCAGCACGCCATGCCCACCACACACTCCTTTCTCCACTTCTCATTCTTCACACGATGCCTGCACACATAAAATTAAAAATATTTTAACAAGTTGAAGGGGGAGATAATTTTGACAACAATGACTTACACGTGTAAAGTGGTAAGCTGGTCTTAGAAATTACACATGAATGATTATAATCAAATACAAGGACTGAATAATAAATGAGAGATATGATTTTTAAAGTGATTCAGATGCTTAAAGCAAATCATACATCTATTGTTTCTTTTATAGATGAGAAATTATAAGAGGTCACATATAGCGAACAATAAACATAGGTACAATAACTGAGTATTCAGAGAGAATATCAAGTCAGTCTTTTTCCTGTAAGTTATCTTTCCTCTGAAAATAAATATTACAATCAGAATGAGGGTTTAATATCAGAATCCCAAAAATGAGAGGGGGGGTCTTATATTTATAGTTGAGGAATTCAAGGTAATGATTATAAATCTGCAAGTGAGTAGGTGCCGTGCAAGTTATTCCTCGCCTCCCATTGGCGGATAACTTAGGAAATATCTTCGAATTATCTAGGGCTTGGACAAGTGTTCGATCCTCAACCACTCATAGACAAACCTGAATCTGCTAAGTTAGTGACAGCCATATTCTTTCTGTCATGGAACAACGTGACAACTCCTAGACGGTGCAAAATCTTTCTGAACTCTGATGGGTGCTTGTTGACGTAAGCTAACGCTAGCTTTGATTTTTTAGGCATAACAATGATGTAGAATAAACTACATGTATAGTGCTGCTATAATATATATTTACAATATAGGCATGTCTATGCTAAACAAGGTAGTCAGATTTTCAGGCAATATCTTCCTCATGGCCTCCATAGTCATCGCTTCCAATCAGAAAGTGCAAGACCCTAATCAGACAACCAATAAGCCTGATGACCATAATAATAGATATAAAAATTCAATATCATCTAAGAAGAGAATTTTATGCAAATGATTTTGTAATTAAATACCTAACCAAATGATTCTTCTTGTGATCAAAAGGGTCTAATTGGATTGTGTATGAGTAAACGCCATCAGGGGCAAACCGACGACTCTCTTTCAGTTGTATGACACGATTGGTCTTGTTCACTAGCACAACCACTCTACCCAACAGTTGAGTCATCGTGCTCCGATCGCTGATACAAGTAAGCAAGTGTTGATGGATTTGGGCAGCTTTGTTGCTCTAACAATGTGACCATTAACTAGTTCTTGTTATATTGACATTTTCAAGCATGACTTTATGTTTGCTTGCTCAACAAAAAATGTTTGTTAATTAAAGATGGTCGGGAGAGGATCAAATAATGATTTAACAGTGCGAGTTGATGATGAGTTCATCTTCCAGAACATGTATAATTATCACATGCATGCAATTTTTTTTCTTATCTATCAAAAACATATATTTGAATAATAATGTTAAAGATATGAAGTTGGGATTCCAACTTTATATCCCAAGTGATGAAGCTACTTATACGTCAGAATTGCTTTGATTATAGGATAATGAATAATTTTCTTATGTTTAATCTAGTATTGACATGTAAATTGCCACATCATTCCTAACTTTGTATATGCAACATTATTGATATTTAAATATTTTACTCAGAGTATGAGATAAGTAATTAAATATCATTTTTCATGTTTGATTCATTACTGCTTCCCCTAGATTCATCATATTTTGTTTTTTATTTCAAATTTTAATAATTGTACACTATTCTGGGACGATTTGACATTTCCATTTACTTAATTTTAATCTTCTTTGTTTAGAATTTTATAAGTATATTCCTTTCTTTGAGGAAAATGGACGGTGGTTGTCTTAGGCTCCAGGAAAGGAACAAGAGGTTAGTAGGAGCTGACGTGGGTTGCCAACCAAGACCTGCTCCTTACACTTTATTTACAGTGTGTTTTCTGAGAGTGGGCTTGAAAAATGAAGAAACTTGAGTTTTAGTGAAGGGTTGAAGCAGCTATACCATTTCATTTAGCAGAGCTTTGATTTTAAGGTAATCCGTGAAGATCAATCTAGACTATCAAGCGCTAATAATAATAGAAGGAATAACTCTTAATGGTCTACAATCTAATTATATATGTTCATACACCCAAGACTGTAAACGAGCCGAGTCGAGCCGAGCTGAGCTTTTGGCTTATCGAGCTCGGCTCGTTTACAACAGTATCAAGCTCGAACTCAAGCCTGGCGAGCCTCAGAATTGAGACTCGAGCTCAAGCTCGGTCGAGTTCGAGCCGGCTCGCCAGCTTGATCCCTAAATTTTAAAAAATAACAAAACACCCCCCTATTTTTTAAATTTTAAAAAATGACAAAACACCCCCTGAATTTTTTAATCCCTAAAACCAGTAAACCACACCTCCTAGTCGCCGTAATCCCCAAAATTTTATCAATCTCCACCACAGTTTGTCGGCAGCACCAACACACCTCCCAGTCGTCGTCAACTCTTCGCCGTGAACCACGTCTTCTTCATCGGATTTGCGTCGCAGAGCTGTCGCCAAACTTGCCATCAACTCTTCGTTGTGAACCATGTCTTCTTCATCGAATTTGCGTCGCAGATCTGTCACCGTCAGACCCATTGAAGTCTCACTTGGTTGCTTTGTTTGTATTTGGGATTTAGGACAAGTGGGACTGGGATGAAATTGATTTGGGATTTTAGTGTATCATGTTTAAGAATTCGCACTTTGGGGGGGGGGACATTTTTTACTGGAAAATATCAGTTTAATACCTAATTGTTTAAAAAATACCAAAGCACCCTGTGTAAGTGTACAGTGCTTACACGAGCCAGACTAGGCTCACGAGCCCACAAGTCGAGCTTCACTGTGTTCGAAGTTGACTCGGTTAAAAAACAGCGTTCGAGTCAAGCCTTATCGAGTCGAGCTCTAAACGAGCTTTTACCGAGTCGAGCCAAGCCGGCTCGGCTCGTTTACAGCCCTACATACTCCTAACATTCGATTAACAGCGCAATTGATAGTTACAGAGTTACGGTCTGGAGCCAATTTATGTTGGATGTTGTCAAGTAAATGGTTTGCATCTGTAGATTGGACATATCAAAGCAAACAAACCAAACCTACCTAGCTTAAGTCTCAAAAAGTGCCTTCCAGTGAGCTCAACCCCAATCTACTTATTTGGGCCTTCAATCATTCAAACACCCATCTCAGAATATTTGGTAAGGGCTCTATTAATTTGTTTGTATGTATCTACGGTTTGGTAATTAATTAACCATAATAAGAATACTGTAAAACACACACACAGCTTCGAAGGATAGAACTTGGACTTACGGGATAATTTTCCAAAACATTGAGTGATCAAATTGACTGCAGTGATAATTTTTAATCGTAATTAGCAATTTAGGCCATTAAACAAGATGAAAAAAAAGAAATATTCCCTTCGCATTTAAGATATGTCAAAACTGCGAGATAGTTCTTAAGAATTGTTGGCCAGTTACCTGTAGTACAGCATGTGTCGAAGAATACAGTGATGTGAAACTAGTTTACCATTTGATTTGTTGTCCCTTTGGAGTAGGCTAAATGAATTTCCACATTTAATATAATTAATGCTTCTTAAATTTAGTTTTTCCAATTGTGTGAACCAAGATGTTGCAGGCATTGTAGCATATTTCACCAAAGACCACTCATGGGACGCCTCCTTGATCTTCTTCTTCTTCTTCTCTTCCTTCTCCTTTTCCTCATCCACATCCTCAACCTTACCCTCCTCATCCTCATCATCAAAAATTTCCTACTCAGCGGTCTTCTCAATCCAGACAGAAATTGGATAAAGGATGAGTTCAGAGTGCTTCTCAATGAGATCCTTCAACCGGCGCTCCTCAAGGTACACAAGCTGGTCTTCCATAAGGTGGAGTGTAGTCTTTGTACCACGGCCAAGAGGCTCACCAGTGGTGTCTCTGGGGAAAGTGAATGATCCACCAGCCTGGGATTCCCATACATATTGCTACTTATCATTGTGCTTGGTGGTGACAATAATCTTCTCTGCCACCAAGTAAGCCGAGTAGAAACCAACACCAAATTGACCAATCAAACTGACATTAAATTTATACATTCCAATCGGTCAACAAAGGAAGCACTCGTGACACTCCAACTTGGAAATTTTCAATTTTCAATCGGTCAACTGATTTGTGTACGTATGCCTCTTTCTTTTTTTTTTTTTTCTTTTTTTTTTTTCCCTGGTACGTCATCTAATAAGTTGCTTTGCAAGTCAAAGTTTTGCCCCACCATGATGGGTTGAATTCGATTCTAGAAGATTAAGATTACAAATTCGATGCCTTTGTTGGCGGTCGTCGACATATATTTATCAGATTAGTGCTTGAAATCTTTTATATATTTGGGTTCCGTAGTAAAATAAATAAATAGAACGATATCTACTCATCAAATTTCGACTAGGAAGAGAAAATACATGCATTTACAGTAGAAATCAATTTTGTTTCATCAAGAGACACATTAATTTGATTCAAGAATTTTGTGCCATAAAGAAACGAAGATAACAATATATACATATGTGCCACAAAGGTAATCGATTTTTCAGGCGATATCTTCCTCTTGGTCCCTTTGGCGATTGTTTCCAATCAGAAAACGCAAACCCCTTCTTAGAAAAACAAATTAATTAGCCTCAATATTAAAGAAAAAGTTTAAACAAATGATGGTATAGTTAAATTCTGATATTTAATTTCTGTCAGTACCTAATCCTGCGTAGATGATCAATCCCTCTTGCTCTAACACCTCTAACAGTGACTTCTCCGTCTTCGCCAATCCTAAAGGAGATTCGAAAAAAATCAATGAACACTTGGGGAGTCAGAACCTTGTTGAGGCACTCAACACCATCAGCAAAAATTCTTATAACAGTCGATCTTGCTGCTAGTTTGGTGCGTCGGTGAAACATAGTGGCGCCGATCTTCTTTTGCTGAGAAGGATCTAGGCGGATTGTATATGAATAAAGACCATGAGGGGCAGACCGGCGGCACTCTTTGAGTTCTATCACGCGGTCGGTCTCGTTCTTTAGCCAGACAACTCTACCGAATAAATGCCCCATTTTACTCTGTCTATTGATAAAACAAACTAAAAGTTGCGTGTATATATATATATATATATACACGCAACTTGTCAGATTCATTCATCATTGTCTGGCTATTTCAAACTGCAGATGTCGACATCTGCAGTTCGAAATAGCCACGCAACTTTTAAGTTGGATTGTGTATGAATAAAAGCCATCAGTGGCAGACCGGCGGCTCTCTTTAAGTTGTATGACACGATTGGTTCCGTTCACCAGCACGACGGCTCTAGCAAACAGTTGAGTCATGGTCATCCGGAGCTGTATACGTCATCCTAAATTTAAACTTACATATACATTTTACGTCATCATATTACGTCTCATAGCATTTGTTTTAAGTCAGAGATGGAGACTGGAGTTCTCTTAAAAGTGTCCAGAATTCATACGCAATTGATGTTTTAATTCTCATGTGATATTTGTGTTTATTTAAGAAATTGATTTTATAGATATCTGGTTGGTGCTGGTGCCTAAAAACCAAAAAAAAAAAAAAAAAAATCCAAACTTTTTGAAAAGATGATGTAGTAAGGCAATTACCTCTGAATGACTGAGTGATTTGATATGGACTCTTGAGTGTATTATTTAATGGATTGTGAGTTCGAATCTCTCTTCGGTTGTTAATAGAGGTAGTCACTAGAGCTCTTATTCGATCAATGATTTTAGGGTTTCAAGGATTAGTTGAAGTATGCGTAAATTTACCTAGATACCCTCAATCTTAAAAAAAAAAAAAAAAAAAAAATGTAGCAAGACTTGTAGTCCACTAATCAGCTGCCCCTTAATCAAACTCCCAATTCAATAACTCACAATCTACAGCTTCAATTTATACCTCTTCTTTCTAGTCATAAACTATTGTACTATAATCCAAACTGCAAATGTATTTCATTTAAAACTAAATTAACAACTGTTAAATATTATTAATTGTGCGTAAGATGATCCATCGAATTTTCATTTGTTTCATATACAAAAGTAATAGCCAATGAGAAGAAAATAAACATAGAAATCACAGTTGCTTCAACTTCTAACAGCACTCACTTGAACTACGGAGGCAAATTTTAATTTTAGAGCGACGAGGTCTCCCATATCTTCTGCAACTGCGAGCAGCTGGCCTTGGGAGATTCTTACCGCACACAATAGTCTCAAGCGAATTGGGCTGCCATGGCGGACACATTAATTCTTGCCGTCTGTTGCCACTTTTTTCTTCGGGGAGGCATGTTGAAATGGCTTTCTACTGTATGTGGATTAATCATAATGTTAAGTTAAAATGTTTGCTCTAGACCATCTATTGAATTAATTAATCCTCAACTGTGTTAATTTGTCACATCATAAGTTTTGATCATTAGCCGGTAGTTTGCCGTATTATAAGAACTTGTAAATTACTTATTAATTTTTTTATGATCGGAGATATCCAGATCAGTTTATATGCTCTAAACTTATCATTTGGAATTTTAGAATCATCGATCGAATAAAAACTCCAATAGTCACCCCTATTAGTAATCAAAGAAATGTAAAACTTATGTTACATGAGTAACGTAAATAACGTGATTTTCATCAGTTTTAAAGTTGATGGTCCACGTTCTTTGTTCAGTTTTCAAACACTTCAGTTTTCAAACGTTTGGGATTTATGGCAGCCATTAAGCATGCCATTAAAAGCTTGATGGAAGCTTGGTTATGTATATTATTTTGGTCCCTAAGCTCAAGAACTCGAATATACAGAAAAATACAAAAAAATACAAAAAAAATACATCATCAATAGAGTGTCTTGAGAGCTTAGAAGATCCAAAATACTGCTCGTGAGTTTGTTTCAATGGCTGGAGGTAATTCTTGATTCCTGGTTTATAGTTTAAGAATATTATATTATTTGTATTTCTGTTTAGATTACAGATAAATGTCTTACAGTTGGTATCAGAGCCATATAATACCTCTGCCTTGATGTTTTGCAAAAGAATTTTTTGAAGCTCTCTGTTCATGACCGTTTTGAAATATTTTTTAAATCAAAGTTTGTTTTTTAGTTGTTTTTCAATGAAAATAAATGTTATAAATCATTAGGAAATTGGATTTATATCATTTCTGGTCTTTGAAACAATTATTTTCGAGTTTAAATAGTGAATTTCCACCCGGGTTTGGCTATTGGGTCATTTTGGGGTCGGGTATCCAATTACAGATCCGTTCAAAGGTTGAAGACGATTAGAGATGACATGTCATTTTTCCTTCAGTTTTGAAACTGACATGTCGTTTTCTTGTCAATTAAAAAAAAAATGTTTTAGATCTGGCACTCTGGGACTTGAACCCGTGATCTCATGTAAAGAGATGTGCTACTGGGCCCAACAGACCACTTTACGTTTCTGTCATGACATTGGTAAAATAATATTTATACTGTTTCTAATTCTGCTCATTTTAATTGTGCCTATTACATTAATTTTGGTTTAATTATATTCATTTTTTGGATAAGTTAAATTGTGCGGAATCCTAAATTAATTATGCTCATATTTATCTTTCATGAATTGATTATATCTTTCTACTTGCAATTTTTGAATGAGTATATATGGATAAAGACATAATATTAAATGTTATGCATAATATTATAGTTTTTATTATGCAATATTTTTTATGCTTATGAGAATATTTTGTGCATAATATAACATATTAGTATTTGATTATGTAATTCGTAATATTAGGCTAGTCTTTATGGGATTTAATGTCTAGTGATCCATATAATTTTAATTAATTAGAGAATAGCCACAGCATCTTTAATTAAATAAAATTATATATTATGATTAATTAGGATCACATAAAGAATATTAGACATTAATTGTAATTAATTATACTTAATATAATAAATTACATAATTTTAACAAATACTAATATGTTATTATTATGCACAAAATATTCTTATAATATAAGCATAAATATTGCATAATTAAACTATAATATTATGCATAACATTTAATATTATGCCTTTGACTAAATATATACTTATCCAAAAATAGCATGTATTAATATAGAGCAGAAATAATCAATTCATGCAAACTAAATATGAGCATATATAATAAATAAATTTGCACAACAATTATCCAAATTGCATATAATTAAATCAAATAAAAATTATAAGCACAACATTTTTTTCCCGCAGGAATTTTTGTTATATTTATATTATTAATTAGGATAAAATATCAAGTTATTCATAATTTATCTACAGGAATTATGAATTTAGTAAATAATTTGATAGTTTTATCATAAAGAATAAATGAATCTGCTTGAATTAGAAATTTAGCCCACATGCAATTTTTATGTCAATTAGATTCAATTTTTTAAGCATGATTTACATTGGTAAAGCATGATATTTTGTTTAGGCCTCAGTTTAAACATAAGCATGTAATATATAATTTTATGCAGTCATACAACCTACAAATTTCTCTGATATTCGTTATGATATCCCTGAACTTAAGGGAGACAACTATAAGGTCTGGAAGGAGAGAGTTCTTCTTCATTTGGGGTGGATGGACATAGACTATGCTATTAGGAAAGACGAACCACCAGTACTCACTGATACTAGCACTGCAGCGGACATCGCGCTTTATGAACGATGGGAGCGATCTAATCGTCTCAGCGTGATGTTCATTAAGACTAGAATCTCTGCTAGTATCCGTGGTTTTGTTGATCAGCATGAAAAAGTCAAAGACTTGCTAAAAGCCATTGATGATCAATTTGTCACTTCAGACAAGGCACTAGCAAGCACCCTAATCATGAAGCTTTCATCCCTAAGACTCACCGATGTGACAGGTGTGCGCGAGCACATCATACAAATGAGGGATATTATGGCTCAATTGAAGAATCTTGAGGTTGAAATGTCGGATTCCTTCTTGGTGCACTACATCCTGAATACCCTTCCGCACCAATATGGACCCTTCAAAATCTCATACAACACACATAAGGATAAATGGTCAATTAATGAACTTATGACCATATGTGTTCAAGAGGAAGGGAGACTGGTGATGGAACATGGAGAAAGTGCAATGCTGGCAACGCATGGAAAGGGAAAATATAAAGTCAATCAGAAAGGGAAAGGTAAAATGCCTCCCCAAGGTGGTATCAATAAAGATTCCAAGTGTTTCTTCTGTAAAAAGAAGGGACACATGAAGAAGGAATGCGCCAAATTTCATAAATGGCTTGCGGACAAAGGTAATCCAACCTCATTTGTTTGTTATGAATCTAATATGGTTAATGTCAATATTAACACATGGTGGATTGATTATGGATCAACAATCCACATTTCAAATTCCTTGCAGGGGTTGCAAAACCTAAGGAAGCCAGTGGGAAGTGAGCGAAGCATCTTATGAGGAAACAAGATGGGCTCGCACGTGGAAGCTGTAGGAACTTGCTATTTAATTTTAAGTAGTGGCTTTGTTTTAAAGTTAGAAAAGACCCTTTATGTTCCAAGTTTTTCTAAAAACTTGATTTTAGTTTCAAGGCTTATACCTTTTGGATAGTCCTTTAATTTTTCAGATTCATCATTCAGCTTACTTTATAAATCTGATTGTGTTGGGAATGGTACTTTGTCTGATGGTCTTTACTGCATTAATTTACAAAACAATGCCACTTATGATTCAATGCATGTTCACACTGGCGCTAAAAGATGTGTTATTAATGAGGACTCCTTTAAATTATGGCACCAAAGATTAGGTCATATTTCCATAGATAGAATTAAAAGACTAGTAAATGAAGAAGTACTTAATATTTTGGATTTTACTAATTTTGAGACTTGTGTGGACTGCATAAACGAAAAGCAGACCAACAAGTCAAAGAAAAGTGCCAATAGGAGTTTAGACACATTAGAGATCATACATACTGATATATGTAGTCCAGACATGGACTCACATGGTCAGAAATACTTCATCTCTTTTATAGATGATTACTCACAATATATGTATCTCTACATGCTTCATAACAAGTACGAAGCATTAGATGCCTTTAAAATCTTTAAGGCTGAAGTAGAGAAACAATGTAGTAAGCAAATTAAGATCT